GGGGCAAAGAGGGAGGAAAAGGGAGACATCTGTAATACTGTCAACAATAAGTAAGTAAATAAATAAATAAATATCAGTGCAATTCAGCATGAGACAAATCTATAATTTTTAAAAAGTCTCCAAATCTAGGAATAATTTGAAAAAGGCCACCCACCAAAACCCTATTGTATGATGTTTTATACTGAATAAAGAAAACACTTTTATATTGGCAATGAGAAGGATGTTTGCTACAACTGCCTGTTCAGTAGACCCAGAGCAATGCAATAAAAGAAGAAAAATAATTAAAATTATTTAAGGATTACGAAGAGAAAAAACATTATCTACACTAATAATAGAGGAATATGCAAATTGTCCGGGACACTGTCACAGTAATGACCAAACAGCAGGCCGCGTGGGGCGACCAGGCCGGCAGGGGGGTTAGTGAGAGACAACCAAATGACTGAACAGCAGGCTGCATGAGGTGACCAGGCCAGCAGAGGGACAGTTGGGGGCGATCAGGTCGGCAGGGGGGCAGTTGAGGGCGACCAGGCCAGCAGGGGGGCAGTAAGGGGCGACCAGGTTGGCGGGGGGCAGTAAGGGACGACCAGGTCGGCGGGTGGGGGGGGGGCAGTTAGAGGCAATCAGGTAGGCAGGTAGGCAGGTGAGCAGTTAGGAGCCAGCAGTCCCTGATTGTGAGAGGGATGTCTGACTACTGGTTTAGGCTCAATCCCAGCCTAAACCGGCAGTCGGACATCCCCCAAGAGGTCCCAGATTGGAGAGGGCGCAGGCTGGGCTGAGGGAACCCCCTTCCCGTGCACGAATTTCATGCACCGGGCCTCTAGTAGCAGATAATAGGATTTCTATGTGCATCATCACAACAGACTGAAAAGAACTACTAGAATTTAAGATTAGAGAAAAGAACTACTGCTGAAAGTAAGATTAGTTTAGAGAAAACAAGAACATTCTTGTAAGTCAGCAATAGTTAGACAATATAGCCCTAGCTGATTTGGCTCAGTGGATAGAGCGTCAGCCTGCGGACTGCAGGGTCCCGGGTTTGATTCCAGTCAAGGGCATGAACCTTGGTTGCAGGCTCCTCCCGGCTTGGGCCCTGGTGAGGCAGCAACCAATAGATGTGTTTGTCTCACATCGATATTTCTCTCTGTCTTTCCCTCTCTCTTCCACTTTCTAAAAATCAATGGAAAAATATCCTCGGGTGATAATTAAAAAGAAAATATAAAAGAAAAAACAATCCTATTTATAATAGAAATAAAATCATTAGGATACCTACAAATTACCTTTAACAGTCCATAAGATAAAAAAGCTTTAGAGAAAAATTTTAAATTTCCATTAAAGGACACAAAGGAAAATCCAAATAAGTGGATACAAATACACTCCACATTAATCAAAACATTTAATGCAATTACAATTAAAATTCTAGTAATTATTTTTGGTGAAACTTGAACTTATTGCAAAACTTATATGGTGATTTGTGCTCACTCTGGCAGCACATATACCAAAAGTTATACAGTGATAAAAACAGATAGTAATTAAAACAGCCTGAGGATTGAACAAATAAACCAATGAAGGAGAAAAGATGGCTAAAAACCAGATTCAGGTACAAGTGAGACACTGGTATATGACAGAGACCAACCAGTGAAGAAAGGAGGTGGTGTTTTTATAAACTGACTGTGCGAACATCAAAACAAACTTCCTTCTCTTGACTCATTTTCTTCCTCCAGTCACCATCCTTTCTCTGTCTCTCTGAACAGCCAAACTCCTCAAAACTGTCATGTGACTGTGTCCCATCTCTCCCTCCCAGTCTCTCTGGATCCTGCTTCTGTCAGGCCTTTGCACCTGTTCCTCCTGACACTGCTCAGCCTCCAGGCAGGAAATGAAGGCCCAGCTTGCAGCAGCGGGGATTTGTGGCCTGCGCCACTTTCTTCACTAGACTCTCCTCACTCTTTCTCAGTCTCCTTCTGGCTCCTGACCGCTTCACATGGAAATGCTTGAGATACTATTTATATGCAACTGACCCGAGGCCTCTCCCTTAAACTTAAGCGGCTACATCTCCCAGACGTCTGATGGCATTTCGAGCTTAACACAGCCACTGACCGTGCCCAACACACTGCCCCCAACAGTCCTAACCATCTCGCTGACTAGCAACTCTGCTTAGTTACTCAGACCAAAAACCTTAAGCTCAAGCTTGCGTCTTCTCTTTCTCACTCACTGGAATATGAACTTCTGGCAAATCCAGCTTCAAACTCCATCCAAAATCCACTGCTGGTAGGAAGGTCAAAGTCACCGTCATCTTTTACATGCAGCACCGCACAACCTCCTCACTGGTCTCTCTGCCTCGGTACTCGCTACCGTAGAATATTATCTACTTCTTCACACAGCACAAGAGTGGCTTTGCTAAGATGCCTTCAGTCATGTCCTGCTGTTGAGGGCCCCCCAGGGAAGACACATGGGCATGCTTCCTAAAATACTGTCAGCTGAACCCAAGGTGACTGGCAGAGCCGAGCCTTGGCTACACATCTTACCAAGACAGCGATGTGTTCTCAGCATTGACTCTGATCTTTGCTGCCCAGGTGTCGGGGAGTGGGCTTTATTATCGTAGATCCAGCCAAGCACCAGGAATGAATAGGACCCTCCTTTCTCTGACTGGCAAGCCAGTTTTGACCCCAATCCCTGGCTTAATGGCCAAGAGACACCAAGTGCCCCGCCCTGTGGGAGGGGCCCTGAGGTGGAGCCATGCCCTCGGGTTCCTGACTGCTTGTCAAGCCCACCAGCCGGCCAGCCCTTTACTGACGTAACTTCCTGGTATTTGGGCTATAAAATAAACACGCTGCTTCAGTGCTGTCAGAAGAGGACAGCGGTCCCACCCGGCCCCAGCTTTTCCTTCTATTTTTGTGTCTTGTCTATTTCATTTCTCAATCCCCAGCGCCTCTACTTGAATAACCGGATCATTCTCTCCGTGCTGGACGCGGAAAAGAGAGACCCCCCCTCCCCCCGCTATATCCTGCCATCTTTTGCTCAGAACCAGGCCACAGCTTCATATCTGAGCCGGGTTCTTGTCACAGCCTCCAAGCCCTGCATGCCCTGGCTTTTCTCCCTCTTGCCACACTGGCGTCCTCGCTGTTTTATCTCCTGTTATCTCTAAATATCTGGGTACCTGTGTGATGTGCTCCCACACCTGCCTTACTGCGGGTTGGTCTGAGGTACCTGTGGAGTCCTCCACGTAGAACTACTCAGTAATAAGCCCTGGACGTGAGACCTGGAGCCCCAAAGAGTGGGATACATTGGAGATGCAAATCCGTGAGTTGCCCACATAGAGGGGTCACGATGGAAGTCCAGGATGGAAGCACACAATCCTCCAAGGAGGTGCCGGAGGAAAGAGGAGCGCAGACGACGCCCTGAAGAGGAGGGTGCTAACAGAAAGGCTTCAAAGGCAACCATGAGGCGATTCAGAGGCAGAGGAAAACTGGTGCTGTCACAGAACCCAGGGAAGAGAGCCGCAAGGAGGAAAGTGGTCACTGTGCTGAAGGCTCCTGTGCTACGGGAGAGGAGCTCAGAAGACTGTGCCGGATGCAGCAACGAGGCAGTCAGTGTGGCCTCCACGGGCACCGTCTGGGAGAAGCGTGCGAGCAGAGGCAGATTCAGGAGTTTCAAGTGTAGATGAGGGGCAAGGGCATGGAGATGAGCTACACGGAGAAGCAGAGCGGGCTAGCTGCCGGAGGTGAAGGAGAGGTCAGGGAAAGGAATGTAGACTACAGAGAGGACAGTGTAGCTCAATGCTCATCACACGACTCAGGACGGGGAGGAGGCACACCAAAGCCACACCCGCCTTTAGAAAGAGAGCTGTGACGCCTGAGAACATTTCTTTGGCTGGAACACAAGGGGAGACGGGTTCAGAGCCCGGCAGTGCATGGGTTTGTTAGGAGAGGCCAGGGAGTTCCCAGTGAGAGCAGGAGGCATGGTTGCAGCTCAACGCAGATGGAGAGACAGAGGGGTAAACACACTGGAGAGAGGAAAAGGTGGCCAAGAGCTGGGGAGAGTGGAGGGCCAGCCTTGCCAACGAAGCACAGCACCCTGCCAGCAGCAGAAGGCACCTGCTCCTGGGCTGACGGGACGCCCGGCTGGGCTGTGCTGTACGTTCACATTTCATCACCAGCGGGACTGGAAGCACACACACTGTGCCTCTCCACCATACATCATGCAAGAACTGCTGTTACGCTGAGGCAGACACACCCAGACGTGACTCACTCCTGCCCTCCTTTACCTGGCACAGCTGTGAGCTGCTCGCTTTTCACCTGGCCTTTTCTTTTACAAAAGTTTCTAGTTTCCATATCTGGCAACAGAGAGATGCCTTACATCACCAAAAGGGCAGGTTTCACCTTAGAAAAGGCAGGAAGAAACCCCCTGGGCACTGTGAGATCATGTTCTGTAAGACCAGAGATCTGCCTGAAACATCACCAGCCTTCATTTTCTCTCACTCGAGGAATCTTGAAGTTCTCTTGTGTCATTAAAACAAATAAGCCACTCATCAGGCTCACTCCAATTTCACTTGTTTCTTTTTCTATGAACTTGAAATACAGCTTAGTAATTTCCTAAGGCCTGCGGACAGTACGTGCACAGTCACCAACCTGCAGCACGTGCCGGCCGCTTGCTCCTACAGGCGTGGCGTGCCCAGAGCTCGCTGACCACTCTGGCGGCTGCACGCTAGGGCATGCGTTGTTTCTATCTTGTGCACTGCTAGCATATTTGATTATTGAGCTTGTATCACTCTTTAGAAAACAATCATGATTCCTTAAAATAACGACACAGCGGATGCTCTGGTTTCATGCATACAGACAGACAACTCTGAGTGAACTGAGGTTTTGGTTTCTTAGTTGCAATTCAGTCAAACTGACCCGAGCCTATCAAATATACTCCAAACTACAGAGACAACATTGAAAATTTTTCAGTAATTGTTTATATGTGGAGCAGGTAAACTTTAAGCTGGTTGAAAACAGAAAACTTACCCTTGTAAAGCTTTATGAATTCGTTTGCACTTTTCCTTCAACACTGCAAAAATACCTGGTGAAAAAAACATTCCTCAGTACAGGTGACCCTTGGACAATGCAAGGGTTAAAAAACCTGAGTTAAAGATTTTTATAATATACTAGAGGCCTGGTGCATGAAATTCGTGTGGGGGTGAGGGTGGGGGGTGTCCCTCAGCCCAGCCTGCACCCTCTCCAATCTGGGACTCGTCGAGGGATGTCCGACTGCCCGTTTAGGCCCGATCCCACCGGGCAGTCGGACATCCCTCTCACAATCCAGGACTGCTGGCTCCCAACTGCTCGCCTGCCTGCCTGCCTGATTGCCCCTAACCGCTTCTGCCTGCCAGCCTGATTACCCCCTAACCACTCCCCTGCCAGCCTGATCACCCCCTAACCGCTCCCCTGCCGGCCTGATTGACATGTAATTGCTCCCCTGCCAGCCCGATTACCCCTAACTGCCCTCCCCTGCCGACCCAATTACCCCCAACTGCCCTCCCCGGCTGGCCATCTTTGACCACATGGGGGTGGCCATCTTGTGTGTTGGAGTGATGGTCAATTTGCATATTACCTCTTTATTAGATGGGATATATAGTTTTACTTTATTTCATAGATAGATAGAAACATCAATGATGAGAATCATTGATTGGCTGCCTCCTGCACACCCTACCCTCACCTCACCAAGGATTGAGCCTGCAACCTGGGCATGTGCCCAGACTGGGAATCGAAACTTGACCTCTTGGTTCATAGGCTGACACTCAGCCACTGAGCAACACTGGCCAGGCTGAGTTTAACTTCTGACTTTTAAAAACTTAAGTTGTCCCTTGGCATTTGTGGGGAATACCAAAATCCGCAGATGCGTATGACATGGCACAGTTCAATGCACACAGTAGGACCTCAGCATCCTCAAATCAATGGAAGATGGTGCAGGTATTTATTGAAAAACATCGCATACACATGGACCTGGGAAGTTCAAACCCATGTTGTTCAAGGTCAAGTACATATTTGGAAAATCTGGTATTACTAATCCAAAAATATTTTTTAAAGATCCATTTCAAGCCCTAGCCGGTTTGGCTCAGTGGATAGAGCATGGGCCTGCGGACTGAAGGGTCCCAGGTTTGATTCCGGTCAAGGGCACATGCCTGGGTTACGGGCTTGAGTCCCAGTGGGGGGCATGCAGGAGGCAGCCAATCAATGATTCTCTCTCATCATTGATGTTTCTAGCTCTCTCTCCCTCACCCTTCCTCTCTGAAATCAATAAAAGAAATATATTTTTTTAAAAAGATCCATTTCAAGTTCATCAATTTAAAATGCTGCAAATCCTTCCACATACTAACAACACACAGACAGGCGGCCAGAAACGCCTCCGGAGGCCAAGCTTTCGTCCTTGGCACATACCGATACCTGTTCATCCTCCTTAGCAAATCTGGGATGACGTTTTCCACAGCAAAACAATGGCTCTTGTTCTTATCAAAATTCTACAAATAATTTGGCTAAGGATAAAAGGGTACCCAAGATATTTGTTACAGAAATATCAAATTGGTAAACAATCTGGTAAAAAATAGAGACTGTATGTAATAATTTTTATGATCTTTTCCTTGATATTTTCCATTTCCTCAAGAAAAACTGAAAAACTAAACTACCTGAGCAGGAGGCTGGAGGGCCAGGCCACCTGCCGGGCAGGTGTGGGAAAGTGCCCAGAAAACACTCATGGTTCCCAATTCTCTGAATTAAACCAAAAGTTGAAAATTTAGAAACTTAGAAAATTTGAAATTCAAGAAATACCAGGTTATGCCTATTTCTCAAATTCTGTTTCAGGCTTTGGTGAGGAGGCATGATCACAACCAAAGCCACATTTTAAATTCAGTTGATTTTAATGGTCGTAAACTAGAATCCAATTGATGATTTAAAAGCGGAAGGGAAGTTAGACAGTCATAAAATTATATGTAACAAAAATTAGTAACACACTTGGGCAAATTTCTAAAAAAAGAGATAAACAGACAACACAGGCCCAGCACTGCGCCCACCCACGCGGGAAGCAGAGCTCCGCTCCAGCTCAGCTCCAGGACGGCAGACACAGGAGCGCGCTGCCCTGCTCCTCTCCAGTCAGGCCGAGAGTGAGACTCAGCCCAGAGCTGTCTGGCACATCATCTCCTCTAGCTAATTCCTCCAAAAAGCGCATAGGACCAGGGCTAATGTAACCTGCAGTCTGACTTCCTGGGTTCGAAGGTAATACCTGGATTCTCTTCCATAATGTTGAGGGCCTCAATGGCAGCAGCAGCTAACAAGGGCGGCAACGAGGCAGAAAAGCAGTATCCCTGACCGGATAGGCGCTGAGAAGAAACAAGTTAAAAACATAAATACGTTCCTCCCTCCCTCCCTCCCTTCCTCCCCCTCCTCTCTCTCCCCTTTGCCCCTTCCTTCCACTCTCTCTAAATATCAATGGAGAAAATAACCTCAGGTGAGGATTAACAAAACAAAACAACAACAAAAAAATTGTGATTAACTGTGAATGAAATGTTAATTATAAGTCACATTTCGTGGTGACCAAGGAGGAGTTTTAACTGCAGCTTGTTTTAGAAAGAACCTACCTGATGGTCGATTACAAAAGACCGGCCACAGCAGAAGCCCCCAATGGAAGCAAGTGCATTCTCCATGTTGGCACTGATGAGATCAATATCATCGATCTGCCAGAAAAGAGGGACCGTGTCAATTATTCCTCCATTAAAAACAGACCAATTTCAAGCCTAGTGAGATTTCAGCAATAATCATGTCAACACCTGGGCTCTACAAGCTACGTATGTGAAAACAGAGGATGGACACACACAATCGATCGTTAAAAGAATGGACAGTTCAAAGCACTCCCGAAAGTGTTTCACTTTATCCCGTTTGCCACTTCATCATGAACGATTTACACACAATTCGAGGCAAATGCAACTGTTCCTAGAGCACAGATGCGGAACCCCGATCCAATGCTACCCAATGAACACAGCACAGACTCTATGACGCCCTTGAGCTGGCAGCCTGCGGGGACCCGACCCTCGTGGCTCTGTGAGGAGACAGGCACCAGAGCGGCGGGCCCTGCACGTGCATGCACTGCCTGTGCTGTGAACCTGCCCAGCAGGATGGGACCGCGCATTTCCGGTATGAGGCATGTTCCAAAAAAGGAAAACTTACATTGATTCCAAAATGCTCAGTGACTCCTCGGCCATGCTCCCCCAGCACTCCAAACGAAAGGCTTTCCTCCAGAAAGATCCTGGCTTTGTATTTGTATTTTAACTGAACCTAAGTGTTAATAAGACAGAGCTTTACAAGTCTGATTAGGAGTAGCAAAGAGAACACCCTGGGAAGAACCAATTACCCTAACATGACAAGGGAGGAAAAGCATGCAGCTGCTCCTCAACACAGGTACATTCTTATCTGTGAACTGCCCACTTGCTGAAATGGAGCTGTAACCCCAAATCCGTCCTCCAGGCCCAGGGCAGAGGAGAGGGAACTTGAGTCACCTGACAAGCCCTTCCCAGCTGTGCTGCACAGGAGCGGCTTCAGCTCACACTGTAAGCAAGTGCTCTTTTCACAGTCTATTTATTGCCACATTTTCTTATATTCTGTGATTTTTGTTGGTGACCCTGTTGTCTAAAGTGGTCCCAGGTGGAGTGCTGAGTGCTGTTCTTCAGCGAGAGGCTGTGATGTGCCCGTGGAGAAAACACGTGAGCTAGATGAGTTTCCTGCAGGTGGGAGTCACAGCGCTGTCGGCCCGAGCTCAACGCTGGTGAATCAACACTATCAATTAAAGAGGGTGTCTTTAAACAAACACACAAAATGAGGCTGTGACTCAAGGACTGAGGAGAAGGTGGTGAGCAGAGGCTTGCCGAGAACAACCTCTGTGTCTGCCCAGGAGCAACAGCTCACAGTCTGTAATTCAGTGCCTGCAGCAGGTTTACAGAACCTGAGTACCAGCAGTGACGACAATCCACTGACTTGTGATGCTTCAAAATGTAATTTCTAAAAAAGTACAAGGTGAGCCATTATGAGTATAGACACATAACCTATCAGTTAAGGACAGGTCTGATCACACAAAAACTCCTGGGGAAACGCACTCACCCTTCCCTCCCTCAGTGGCACTGTGTTTTAATTTTGGATCCATGTCATTTTTTAATGCAGAAAAAGATTTCCCCTCAAGGTTTGGATGCGTATTGATCTGTATGTTCTTCTAAGCATTTTGTGTCTTTTATATTTTTGTTTACACTGTGGGAAGTTGGACATGTGCATGTTTGTTTATAGGTTTTTTTTTTATCCTCTAGAGTTTACCCCATATGATATGTACAGGATCAATTTCACAACTGAATTAAAATACAGAGATTATAAACCACTAAATTTTTATATATATGAGAAGTTGACCTCTCAAACATTCCCATGACTCATGTATTTTGATTACTAAAGATTTAATTTTACGATCTTTTCACATTGTCTGGCCAGTGTGGCTCAATTGGGTGAGCATCGTCCCATGCACCAGGAGATCACCGGTTCAATTCCCAGTCAGGGCACACGCCCAGGTTATGGGCTTGACCCCCCCAGTAAGGAGTATGCAGTAGGCAGCCGATCAATGTTTCTATCTCCCTCTCACTTCCTCTCTCTCTCTCTCTCTCAAATCAATAAAAACAGATTTGGAAAAAAAAAGGATCTTTTTACATTGAAATTATAGGAATCCTATATAATAAAGAGCTAATATGCCAATGTTGTCATGCCCTCATGCCGTCACGGCCCAGATACTCAACAATGGGGAGAGAGGAATGAGGACTAGCCAGGCACAAATGAGTTCGCGAGAGAGGAATGAGGACCAGCCAGGCTGTGGCCCAGGAGAGGGACAAGCCGTCCACCCATGGTCCCCTGAGGCTGTGGCTGGCCTGGGCGAAGCTGGCCCGGGTCCTGGGTGCCTGCGGCCATTCAGAGAGAGGGAAGCCCAGGTCCCGGGTGCCTGCAAGCAGCTGGAGGAGGGAATCCTGGGTCCCGGGTGCGGGGCAAGGCAGAGGTGGTTAGGGGCGATCAGGCCAGCAGGGGAGCAGTTAGGGGCAATCAGGCAGGTAGGGGAGCAGTTAGGGGCGATCAAGCAGGCAGGTGAGTGGTTAGGAGCCAGTGGTCCCGGATTGCAAGAGGCAGTCGGACATCCCGAGGGGTCCCGGATTGGAGAGGGTGCAGGCCGGGCTGAGGGACCCCCTACCCCATGCACAAATTTCGTGCACCGAGCCTTTAGTAATGTATAAAATGTGTCCCAAGTCTCAGATAATTTATTGATTTTTATTTTAAAAAAATATTTATTGATTTTGAGAGAGGAAGGGAGGGAGGGAGGGAGGGAGGGAGAGAGAGAGAGAGAAAGAGAGAGATAAATATTGATTGGTTGCCTTTTGCACATGGCCTGACTGGGGATCAAATCCGCAGGCATGTGCCCTGACCAGGAATTGAACCAGCAACCTTGTAGTGCACAGGACGACTCGATGCCCAACCAACTCAGCCACACCGGCCTGGGTGATAATTTATTTTTTAATCAAGATTTTATTGGCTAATCTTGCTAATCAATATCAAATTCAGGGGGGGCACACCTGAGCTTTTTGCTGGATTTTAATTAAAAATTAATAAACTTATTTGGGGAGAATTGCATCTTTTCAACACTCTTTTCCATCCATTAATATGAATGAGAAAGTTTTTAAAAGTCATAGAGTATATCCTATATAATAAAAGGCTAATATGCAAATAGACCGAATGGCGGAACAACCTAACAACCGGTCACTATGACGTGTGCTGATCATCAGGGGGCATGCGTGGAACATGGTGGGTGTTGGCTGTGGTGAGATGGTGGAGCAGGTGAACGGGGGCACCAGACCAAGGCTGGCCGCCAGTCGCTGTCATCAGGGCGAGCCTTTGGTAGTTCCTGAAAATTCTTTGCTCCCACACGCCACGGTCCCGCCTGGCGCTTGCACCCACTGCCAGCACAGGAGCCACCGCTCGCACCCACTGCCAGCACCAGAGCTGCCACTCGCATCCGCTGCCAGCGCCAGGCCCGATCACTCCTGAAGGGCAATCGGGGCAGCAGCTGCCGCTTGCACCCACTGATGGTGCTGGCCCTGCTTGCACCTGCTGCTGGCGCCAGCCTCAATCGCTCAGTGCCAACAGCGTGGGAGTGGCGGCAGTGGGAGCGGGGCTACCGGCAGAGAGGGGACCCGAGGCTGCGGCAGGAGTGGCCGGGCAGGGGCGCGGAGGATGGGCCGAGACCCACCCCTGTGCCCACTGCAGCCTTGTGGCCCACAGTTCCTTTCAAGGTGCACAAATTAGTGCACTGGGCCCCTAGTTTAATAGTATTATGACAGTACCGGTACACAAATAAACAAATCAGTCAAAGAGGATCCACAGTCAAACCCTATTT